ATATATATATATATATAAAAAAAAAAAAAACTGTGTATAGGAATATATGTATATATATATATATATATATATATATATATATATATATATATATATATGTATAATTTTTTTACAATTTGGTTTCCAACTCATTTAGTATATTTTATGTTTAATCACTTTCAAATAGATAAATCCCCTCTTAATGGAAGCTCATCATCAACATTTATTTGTTGAAATAATCTGAAATGGACTCTGTGGAAAGGTATGTTTACAAAACATTAAAGTCAGGAGTATCTTTGATTGATTGATTACAATCTGTATGACATTTGGAAATGTAGTTAAACTGTAGGAAACAGAAATCCAATTTAGTTTTCTAAAATCAAATTCTCACTAACACACAGAAATACTTTTAACTTTTATGTAAAGCGTCATTTTCTGGACTTTTTGGTTGATATTTTGTCTTTTCTGTATAAAATGAATTGGCCATAAAATGTATGACTGTTCATTTGTTTCTACTTGTGCAAATCAGCAGAGTATAAATGATTATTCATCCAATTTATTGTAATTTAAGACTTTCATTTTGGTTTGTGTGTTTTTTCATATTGGATGTTATTTTCAATTCTTTTAGATTTTAAAGAAGTCATATCAGACAAATCTAAAGTCACATTTCATATTTTGCTGGTTTATTTATAAATGTAAGAATATAAATGGGGATATTAAGAATATTTTGTGGTGTTCACATACACAGACTGAATATGTGTGTATTGAGATCAATGCTGTGGCATTCACAGTGTTCTGCTGCATCAGGACCGGGTACTTTACTTTACCATGTTGTCAGCATCTTATTACATATTAAAGGATCAATAAATATTTCTGTGATCTATGAGTGCCCCCAAGTGGTCAGACAATTATTAGTGGAATAAATCAAAAAGTAAATTATGCCACAAGCTTCACTTTCAGTTAAAAAAAGTCCAGCATCCGAAGCTAAGTGAGGCTCTGTGGGAAAATGAATGTCCAAATAATCCAGATTAAGCGGTGATGAAGTTGTGTATGCTACTGTACTTAATGTGTTATTAAGCAATGCAGAATCAATGTTTTCCTATGAGTAGCTTCCTATATCACCAAACAGAAGACAAAAATATTTAAATGTGTGACAAGAGTATTAAAAAACTCTGAGCTCTTAAAAGAAGTAGAAGTATTCAATAAAATCCATATAATTATACAGTTAATCTCTCCTGCAGTAAAAACCAAATAGTTATTCAATAACATTATATAAGAACAATAAATGTTATAATTCAATCATTCAGGCGTGAGGTAGCTGTGGCTTATATTTAAATATTGCAGTGTAGATAAAGCTTTCTGTGTTGAGCTTCTTATTTAATGATGACCACCAGTGCGGTCTTTTTGTGATATTATTTTCATAGTGCTTATAAAACACTGAAATAAAACACACAGCAGCATTTACAGCTGCATTAAAATCAAAGAGTCGGAGGCCAATAAAGCCTCTCTGCAGATGAACCTGAATAGATGAGGAAACACACATCACAGATCGAGTCTCCATCTTTTCTCATGGTTCCTTTCAGCTACACTGTCATGCAAAGAGATTCATGCATCCATTAAAAATGTTAACCCATTGCAGACCAACACAAGAAAGCAAATAATTCTGAAGTGAAAGTTAAATGCATAATTGTCCATTTTTTTCCCTGCGCTTTGATATTCAGCCTTTTTTAATTTGATATCCCAAAATAAAATGCAACAAAAAGCCTCCAAAAGTCAGCCAATTTGTGAATTAAAAGACAAATTCAAAAGTCAAGTTAGAGAATTAGTCAACAAAGCAACTGTTAGTCAAGCAGTCTACAAACATGACCTTTATGAAAGAATGAAAGGGCAATAAAGTGGAAGAAAATGGAAAAGAACATTTCTGTAATAAGCCTGCAAGACAAACACCTCTGAACTGCATGTGATTCATAAACTACCTGTGAAAATGGTGAATCCCGCACAGTTGAGAGTTTAAAATAAATGAACCATCGTAAGTCTCCTCATGCAGACCAAATTCAATTTTATGCCCATTTTTTTGCCCATATGCAACCGATATCCCACTTTTCTCTCTTTTCACACCTCAAAAAGGTGTGATTTGTGCCACTGAATCATATACGTTATGTATACATGTATCCAACATTTTTTAAAGAGTCTCCATTTAAAATGCATCATGTCACATTTTATCATTGACTTGACACCTGATAAAATGTCTCAGGTCAATGGCTTCTTCTAATTCTGTACCAGAAGAAGCCAGACGTGTTAAGCCTGGACGTAAACAAAAGCTGGAGTAGATGTGATTTCTTGTTTCTTCTTGTTATGGTCTTGTGAAAAATACTGCTGACTGTACAACAACTTTAAAATCAGTCTATAAACAACGGCATCCGTCACTACGTCTGTAAACATGTAAACATGTAAACAGGTAAACAGTGCTCTGCTGCGTCACTTCTGCGTTCTTCTTCTGTGCATAGCGGGTTAACAGAAGTCTGATTTTGGTCGTATTTTATTAGCAGCAGTAACGGCCATGTAAAAAAAAAACTACATTTCAGCAAAACAATCTGAATTGAACTTCAAGACTTGTTGTGTGAACGTAGCCATAGATGAAACAAAACGTTGCTTTGATCTTGAAGTATTTCTTGAAAGGAATTAAAGTTAACTCCAAAATTGCCTTTGATGTAAAAATCTGAAAGAGACTAAAATTAAGGTTTATAATGGCTCTTTTGACTCAACAGGGCTAAATGTATACACTTTTAATATTTTTATTTGTTAAAAAAATAAAACTATTGTTTTCCTTCCACATCACAACCATTTACTATTTTGTGACAAAATACTTTGCGGTTTGTGTTTGTACCATTGCAAAAAGTATCAAGACGTGTTAGTACTTTTGCAAGGTTGTTGCAGTGCATTTTAATAAAAATAATAATAAAAAAATCTTAATATCAATCAGTCAATAAAATTCATCAGTGTGTCGACTCTGTCAAATCATCCCTAAGAGGAACATTTTGGATTGACAGATTAACTTGTTGGCTCACATGATCTCTGGAGATAAAACAAATTTAAAGCATCACTTTAATAAATGGATTTAAGGCTCCAGGATTACATAAAGAGAGCTCACAATGCAATCAATCTAGCCTCATCAAGCTAAGTCTTATGGATTAGACGGGAATCCCAAGGGTTGCTTTACTCCCCACTGATATTAAATAAATTACCATATCTGAAATTATCTGGCTCCTCTTCTGACTTATGTGCTACTCTATTAAACTCTAAGCAAGCAGAAAACATAAATATAAAGCTTGGTTTCAAGTTTAGACAATCAAATCTGCAGACAACTCGAATGTGATCAGCCTTTGAGTTGATCTTACCAGTCTCTCCCCACACAGGCAGGTATTCATCCTGCTGGATGTCCAACATCAGCTCCAGGCCGTTGCCCGTTCCGCCCTTCATCGTCACCAGAAGGGGTCGTCCATCTTGGCCTGAATTAAATGTGTAGCATTTCCCGTAGCGTGTAAATATCTGAAACACACACAGAAAGTCCAGGCTTTAATAACAACTCTAATGTTTCACATTCACTAAAACAAGAGTTTCAGACTTTATTTCCTACGAGGGATTAAAAAATAAAGGAAACAGCATCTGTTCAGGTTGAGCTATCAGACACGGATCTCAGAAGCCTTTATGTAGAGAGCCTGTTCACAAGCTGAACCCTGTCCGCTCTCAATACTGCATGATATAGTTTGTGCTTGAGAAAACAGGACATGATTTTTGTTTCAGAGTTGGACGACCTATGTCTGGCAGATTTCACACTGAGATATCTGACCCTCCCCCAACAAAAAGGTAAAAATATTACCTCCTTTAGAGCTGAAAGCAAATCAGACCTTTCTGGATTTTAAAAAACAAAACAGAAAACCACCTGATTTCTCTACTGTTTACAAGAACAAATAGATTATTTTGGAAGTTCTTTCAATTATTTGAACTTAAACCCGTGATGCTTTCTTAGGTTTACAAAAGCCTAATCTTAGGTTTATGTTTAGATTTTCTTTCTATATTAGAACAAACTAAGAATATCTTGTCCAGGGTTTGTTGCAGTATCAACTAATCAATACTTTGTAATACTTTTTAATAATAATTTGATTAAATTTTTTACATGTACAAAACCATTGACAGTGAATGCATAAAGTGCAAGTTTTTTAAAATGCCATTTTATGCCATGACCCTCAGCTTGCAAATGATTCCTTCCAGTTCTAACTCAACATTTTTCAGTTCACTGCATTTGTCTCTGCTGTGTCTTTTAGTCACAGTGCTAGATTTGATCATTTCAGCCATCATTGTGCTGGATTTGTTTTAAGCCTGCTAAGCTAGTTGATCACCTTTTGAAGGCACAAATCCCTCTGAACGGCTAACTCTCCCTTTCCTGCCGCAGATGAACTATTGGTGGCAAACACACCAGTAAGTTTCATATTCCTGTTTTTAGCACATTCTTTCGGGTAACCTATGACAGCCCCGGGCCAGCCCATGGATGTGCGTTAACCTACCCGGTTTTGCCCGGCACACCAGATGGCCATTCCACCCCAGGCCAGAAACACTGTTTAATGTGACACCAAACTGATAAGTTTGACTCAACAGGTGATTATTACGTACAGCATCATCTCTTTGTGCCGTAACAGGTGGAGAAGAAACAGGCCTAGGCACCCAACTAGCTCATTAAACTTGTGAGTATCCATCAGATTGTAGGAAATGAAGGAATTTGTCACAAAAATGAAAGTAATTGGTACATTTGTCTATGAAATCTGAACCATCCACACACAGCGTGAACACATTTTGCACAATGTGCCTGATTATGGAGACTTCAGAGTTTTTTCTCTCTTACAGCTGATTTGTGGTCGTCAGACTTCATGTGTAAACTCAAGGTATTGACATCTATTGTCCCGGCCTTAATTTCTTTTTGCGTCCGACACGAAATCCTTCGTCATCCTCACCATCCAGGCTAATCTTAATTTACAATTCTCCTTCCACCTCTGCTGGAATTTGCATTTATTTTCTCCGCTGTTCGTCTCCCCAAAATTACACACCGAGCCGCTAGAAACAGTTTCCAAAATTGATGTACATTTCTGGCAATAATCCATAAATTCCCCAATGAGGGAGTTTAGCTGAACAATTTGGATTTGCTGAACTCACCTTATTTCCCCTGAAACACAGAAAAAAAATGGCTCTGAGATTTAGATGTAATAATTTATAATCAAATCTAAGGCCTTAAATTTAACAAAATATATTTTATAACTTTCAACACTTAAACCCTGTTGTTTTACAAGATACAGCTGGAACAGTTTTCAAAAATGTCTACTTTTTGTTCACGTTGCCAAAGGAGAAAAGAAAACAAAGGAAACAGTGAAGAAGAAATAGAAACACATTCATTCTACGTTTCAACATTTATGGCAGTGAGGGTGTTTTGAACTCCCGTCAACATGCGTCTTGTTAAACTGTGGGAGGAAACAACAATATCTACAAAAAGAAACAGTAAAAGAAAGTTGTGCATGTATGGAAAACACTCAGAACTTTTAAACAATGGCCTCCAACAGCTTCATTTGAAATGCAGGCTTTCGTTTTGAAACGCTCAAGCTGAAACCCCCATGGAGTAATAACACACTATGAGACTTGATGTTCTCTGCAATTATGTAAAAAAATGAGCAAGACAAATGGGCCTTCAAAATAAAAAAATCCAATATTCTGCAGGAACAAACTTGCATATATAGATGGTTTGGTCTGATTTATAAAACATAAATGCATAGTTTGGTAACACTCAAGTTTACAGCAGCTACAGTTGATCTGGGGGGAATAAAAGTTGACAGCACTAAGAGTTTGATCAACATGAGAATATTCTTCAATGTTAAGACATTATCGAGGATTAGTACTGAATTAATAATATTTAATAATTGGATACAAAGTTTTATTATTTACAGCTGGAGGAGGTATACAGAGGAGGTATACAGAATGTACATCCACAAGTAACCAATGTGTTTTTGTTCTTGACCAGCCCAACAGTTACATCTCAACCCCAACTTACAAACAGTACAGTGAGCTAACAGCTGATAGCATGGTTAGCTGCATGGTTAGCTGCACGGTCTGTGGCTCTGTCCTGAGTAGAAGGACAGAGCCACACACAACAATACTGAGGTCAAACAATCAGGGAATCCACAGCTTAGTGTTGGCTCCAGAAGCTGCAGGAGGTGAAGGAGCTGCAGCAGCCAGACCTCCTGCTGCTGATGTGAGGAGTGACCAGTAGGAAGGCAAGAAACAAAATTTATTTTCAGTTTATATTTCTAATCTGCATGGAACGTCTTCAGTTTTCTCTGTTTCCTTCCATTCATGTTTATATTAATCAGTTATTTCTCCTGTGTTTGTTAGCAATTCTTTCATCATTTTTTGTGTTTACATCAAGTTACCCTCCACCGGCTAGTTTATTGTTTCCATGAGCTGCAGCACATTCAGTTACTTACATTCACTGGTTTATTACACCAGGGTGGTTTTTGGTTCTGTTGCCCTGCAGCAATAATGTCAGGATTCAAACCCTGACCTGGATTTCGGATTAAATTAGCATGTTAGTGTTGCTCTGTGGTGAACTGGCGACCAGTCGAGGGCAGTGGGTTCCAAAGTTTTCAGTTTTTGACCCACAAAGTAAAAATGTCATGACCCAGAGTCTAGAGCACACAAATATTTTTATCGAGTCACTTAAAAAATGGTATTATGACAATACAATTGGCATCAACAGCTAATATTAGCTGAACTCGTGTCGTTTCCTTCATGCCTCTTCATACTTCCAGTTCCTCTAGTGCGTATCTTTTCACTTCGTTTTTTGGATTCAGTGCTGCTTTCATTCATCCTCACTGTACATTTGGGATTTAGTTTTTCTGTTTAGCTCGATCTTTTCCATGATTCTGTCTCCTTCTGCCTCAAATAGCAAAAACTGACATGTAATATGTATGAGATGAATAAATTACTTGCTGTTATTTGTGTTCAGGTCATCAAACTGCGTTGCCAAAAAAAAAAAGACTTTTGAGAAGCTGGAAACAGATCTGTGAATTTATTCCACAAAATAAATAAATAAATCATTGAGTAATTAAATTGTTATATTAGTTCCTTCTATGAGCAAAGTAGATAATACTCAAAATGTCTTTGTGCTACATTTAGCAAAACAACTAAACTGTGATGAAAAACTGTATATTAGAAAACCTGAATGCTTCAAAACTTTAACATACTTGACTGTTCATCCATGTGCAGAACAGTAGAACCTGATGCTGGGCCACTGTTGCATTTCCAAACTACAGTATATCCCACTGGCAACGACGCGATTGCTGGTGAACTAATGGATGTATAATCTAATCAGAAACATCCAGAAAATGAAAAAGCATACCTAGAGTCCAAAATGAAATTTTTTCCTACTTTGTTTGCTGAGCCACATGCATTACAGTATCCTAGATCCTAATTAACTTAGAATTAACCTTCAATATGTTGACATTAATGTTTGGAACAGTAACAGGAAGCTAGTTTGGAGAGAAGATATAACAAACAGGAAATAAAAGAGTGAATAGCTTATTTTTTATTACCATTTCACAGAAGACAGAATGTATCTATCTGTATAAACTGGATGTATAAATAATCTCTTTGCAATGCTGCTAATAAAACAAAAGTCTACTTTTAGCCTTCTGCAATCGCTCAGAAAGCTGCCTTTCGTCTGAATTTTATGCAAGGACATTGATAAAAGATAAGAAGGCGTTTATTACATAGTTGACTTATGAGTCAGACGTTATTGCTTCATGACTCAAATGCCACAAACACCAGATGCACCAAGCTGAAAAAAATCAAACACAGCCATGCCTCACAAAAGAAAAGTTAGAATAATGTGAATCCTGCTCAGTGAGGTGTGTGGAATAGAGCGAAACCTGAATCAAATAGAGTCACGGTTATTCATAGGAGCCTGTAAAACACAATGCAGTGAAATGTAATGAAAAGCCCTCTGATAAGTCCAACACAATATGAGATGTGACCTTCAAGAGTGTAGGTGGCAAAACAGAGCCAAGAACAAAGCCTATAGTATCAGCTTATGTGCAGAATATAAATATCAATAAAATGCCCCTGAAATCCATCTTCTGTCCCAGAGCTCCCTCTCAGTGTAATCAGATCACTATTTGTCATTTCTCTTTGGAATATAAAGCCAGAAGATTTTTACAATATCACAAAGCTGCCTCCTTTCATCCAACAAAGTACCTGACAATTACAAATGGACTAAACCTGCAGAATAAAAACCTTGCTGTCAGTTTCAGACCTAACTAAGCAAAACACTGGAAAAATCCAAACTATTTGATACTACAATTTCTTTCAATCTTTCACAAAATATTTTTCTTTTTGTTTTTTGAAAGAAATATGAACAAAAGAAGAGGCTTTTAATCTTCGTAATCAAAGAAAGCATTGAGCAGAAACAGTGATGAGATTGTAACAAATGTGCGAGAGCGCGTACGTCT